GCAAGTTTCTTCTGTTCCCACACATAATTCTCATGGCTACAAAGCTACTTTGCGATTCCACCTTACAATTACGGAAAAAAAAGCCACATAACCTTCTCCCTTTTAAAGAAGTGTGATATCTATTTATATCGAGACAGAGATTTTCATATTATTTAAAAGACATGCCTCTTTTAAGTCTGGCCAGCTTCAGAGTCAACTTTAAGTAGCATGATGTGTTAGACCTGTTCCTGTAGCAAGTCCAGGTTTTGAAACTGTTATTTTAGAGATATGTTGCCTTTTTTTTTTTTTCCCAGACAAACAACGAGTAGTACAATAATACCACCACTTTGAAAATTATAAAAGAGATGACAATGTGTTTCTGAATGGGAAAAACTTGACATTTTCGCTGTAAAGTAGCAGCAGAACCAAAACGGAACAGTTCAGTACAACAGTCACCTTTTCCTCGTAAATATTAGCCCTTAACGTCTGCTCCTCCTGCATTACAACGCAGATGGGGAAAAGTTTCCCTCACAAAACACATGCCTTTCATTATTGAGAAGTGTTTCATATTTCTTCAGGAGACTCGGGCTTTGAAAACGAAAAGCGTCCACCAGCTTTTCTATAAACGCCTCCAGATTCCTCTGGTTAAGAGCGAGCCATTGCCAGTCCCAACGGAAAAAGTAAAAAAAAAAAAAAAAAAAAAAAAACCAAAGCGCCAGATATTTCAGAAATTTGCTCTCCCAGCACAATTTTCCCAGTAAGGAGTAGAAAAAGAAAGAAAGAAAGAAAAAAAAAAAAAAAGAAAACGGAAAAAAAGAGAGAAGACGCTCCCAGAGGGGCCACGTCGCTCGGCCGCCGCCAGCCCCCCGGGCGCGCGCAGGGCCGCCCCCGTGCCCCGGGAGGGGGTCGGCGGCCCGTCCCGCCCCGCCCCCGCCAGACCGCGCGTCCTCCGCGGCCAGGGATTTCCCCGCAGCCGCCTGGCCGCGGGGGAAGCGGCAGCGCGGCAGGTAGCGGGGAGAAGCCGCCGGGAGACCGCGTGAGGTGCGGGGCAGGGCAGAGGCGGGCCCTCGGCCCCCGCACGGTATCGCTCCGGGGAGCCGCCGGGCGAGGAGGTGGGCTCGGAGGGGCGGCACCCGCACCGGGAACGCGGCGAGAGCGGCAGAGGGGCGCCGGGCCCCTACAGCCACCCCTGCTCCCTCAGTCACTCGCCGCCGCGCTCACTCGCGGCTCCTCCCGGCGACGGCGACCCCTCCCCACCCCTCCTCCGTCCCCCTTCCCACCGCGGCGCGTCCCCCCTACCCCGGCGGCGGCCCCTTACCGGAGAGCGGCGGCCAAGCACGGGCAGCAGCCGGGCCGCCGCGGGCCCTGCGCACTCGCGCCCCGCTTCCCATGGAGCGCCCTCCCCACAGCGCGGCCCTCGCCGCCGCCGCCGCAGCAGCCGCCCCCGGGCTGAGCCGCCGCTCCCGGCCCCGCCCCCCCCTCACGCCCGCGCCTCGCCGTTGGCCGGCCGCGCCATGCGGGGGCGTGGCCCCGCGCGTGCCCCGCCCTCCCCCCCCGCCACCGCCCCGCCCAAATCGGAGAGACTCGGGGAGGGAGCAGCGGCGGTCCCGCCGCATCGCACCCTGCGGCAGAGCCCGCGCCCGAGGAGAGCGAGGGCACGGCGGCCGGGGCTCACGGGGGTGCGCAGAGCGAGGTCCAGGAGCGAGGAAAAGTCCAAATTCAGACCACGTCGCGTTTAGCAAACAGCATTGACTTTTAAGTCATTTGCCCAACACGGAACAAAAACACTGCGCGCAAAGGGGAGAATACCTCTCTCCCACTCAACATCCCACGCTTATCTACTCCCGTATCCAGCGCGTGATTCATTGTGCAGCTTCCAGCATTGTTGTGAGCGAGTAAGATGGGTGTGTGCGCGCACACACACACACTCTTCCCTTTCTACTACTCTCAGCTCGCTTTGATTTCTGGATGAGCTTTGTTGGCTGCTTAGGGCAAAATCTAACCGATAACAAACTCAAAATGTAACAATGTCTGACTATACCCCCAGGATGGAAGTGGATTCAGCTACCTGGACAGCCCAAATTCTGGCATAATCTAGCTTCTGAGTTCAGTTCCATGTGCACATATATGAACATTTTCATGGTTAAGAAAAAGTTGGAAAAGCAGAAATTTGCAGCATCACACAGAAACTCAAATAGTTCCCAGCAGCATCAGGACCTTTGGACCTCTGTACAGACTTTTATTACGTCAGGTCACAGTGACTGATGGCAGCAGTAGTTTTCCATCTTCTACAGGCAGGGACTACAAATTCACACTTTATTCTTCGCTAACAATAGCCTTTTAAATTCAGTGATCTTGGATCCAATGCTCAAGCTCTGGAATGGGACATACTTTTGATAACATAACAAAGCCCACAGCATCCAATTCTTAGCCCAGTTAGTTCCTTAACCCCAGCAGTTTCCGATTTTACATCTTGAAATTCCCCACCCTTGCTCCAGTCTCCTTCCCTAGCCACTCCAGCACACCACCCATTCAGGATTTTGTGTCGGAGCACCAACCTTCACCTTCGTCTATCCTTCCTCTCCATATATGCCATAATTTCTTCTATTGGAAGAATTTTATTCCATTTCTAATGGAATTTATAAAGCCTGAAACTAAGCCATCAAACCAAAACAAGTTGTAACATTACTTATCTCTAGTGTCATTATTAAAAACTTTACTTTAAAAAGCTACTAAATAAATTATGAATTAAGTTTAGAAATCCAGTAAATGGTTATAAATTCTTCAAGTCTTCTAAGTATGGAGAAAAGTAAACAAAGAAAACAATGTCCTGAGCTTCAGAAAGATTTTGATCATTCAGGTGATTGATCCAGCAGATGTCAAAATCAGGCCAGAGTAAACAATTGTAAACTAATTCAATGTGAAAGCAAGGAACTACGGTAGGGAATGTGAGTTAAATAGTACAATCAACAATCACATCATCATAAAAGGTATTAAAGGTTTATTGGGAGAAAAGTCATTGAAACCATTAGATAAGTGCCCAATAGCAATAAAAAAGATAAACAAGAAATTCCACCTATACTTATCAATAGATAGAATACAAAGCAATGGATACTATTTGGTCTGCCAAACCTTTGTCAGAAAGAAAAGCATATAGCTCCAGCAGACTGTCTTCCTTACAGACATTCTTTTTGAAAGCAGAAGTGGCTTTATCTTGCCATAATTGCACCATTCCCAGGCACATTTGAGAAAATACAAGGAAGAATAAACTCAGCTGTTCCAAATACATACCCAGCTCTAGTGCTTTCACTGTTTCTGAAGCAGACATAAAATTTGTTATGCTTCAGCCCCTCCATGCTTTAGTCTCTCTCTCATCTTGGCTCCCTCATAGGCAAACCTGCATCCATACAAGAATTCAGCAGAATTTTTTTGGTGAATGGTTTATTTGCAAAAATAAAATCGGTTTCAGAGATCAAACTGGAAGTGACAAAAAATAGAAATACTAGGATTACATGTTTTTATGCTTCTGAAATATTTTGTTTCAAGCACTTTTGATTTAAAAAAAAAGAAGTATTCTACGTTGTGGGAGGCCTAGCTTCAAACATCTTTTGAAAAAAAGGTTTTGAGCCCACATCTGCCATGTTACATGAATGTTAAATGAAGTTTTGGGTTTTCCTCCAAGTAAAACAACAAACAGTTGTCCTTTTTCATTTTAGTTGTTCAGAGATTTTTTCCTTCTCATTTTTAGTTTGACTGCCAAATTGAATACAGAACCTTCTGCATTCCCCCTGAATTAAGACTACCACAAAACAGCTGCAACCGTGTCCCCGACTGTACAGTGTTGATTACCTCCTACATGGACTTGAAAAATATTACATGAAAGATAAATGAAAATAACAGATCTACCTTCAAGAACATACAGCGTGCATAGAAGGCGAGGTGTACATCACAGCTTGCAACTTTTGCTGCAGTAGATAACTGGAGGGAGGATTAAGGGTCTGCCAACTGCTGTGTGCTGGCCATCACTTGCTAGTCTACAGGGCTAATGCCCCTTTTTAGCCAAGTGTAACCTACAACATCACTAACACAGGCTTCAGGGAAGCAACATAAGTAGAACAGGTGAAAGCGTTTTTGAAGTCACCTTTTTTCTGCACTTCAACTATCATAGTTTGCTTGGAATGAACAATCAGTTATTAGGCAAATAGTGAAGTCCAGGTCAATAAAAACAGTAGTCTCAACAATGTGTTCTTCAAGAATAGACACCAAAATCAAATTTGTTTTCATTAAAAATGCTGAATTTTCCTGTGAGCAGCCACTGAAATCTCTAACTCATTAAAAGCCACTTGTGTGATTCTTTTGGCAGCCTTTTTTTTTTCTTGATAGAGCATGTGTACACAGTGAAATAAAAGCTATAGCACATCTAATTTTACAAAAAAACAAAACAAAACAAAACAAAAACCCAAAACAAAACAAAACCCCCCAACCCAAAACAAAACAAAAAAAAAGGGCAAAAACCCCATCTATGAAGTAAACTCCAAGTGCTTGCTTCTCTCTTCTCAGTGTTGAACAGTACTTTACTCACACGAAAGTGCCTTTGAAATCCAAGGAAAAGTTGCTCTACACCACAGCTTCCAATCACTGTTAAGAGAAGAAACATTTCTCGGTAGCAGCATTAACGTAACTAGAACTGAGAAAGTGATATTTGTTAAGCAATTGGTTTCAAAATACTGTCTCTATACTATGTATCTGCAGAAGTGCCAAATATCCTAGACTAGTTGGAAGACATAAATTATGAGTATATAGCTGACTGTGAGCAATGAAGAGTTCAGTACAGAGCTGGGTATTTGTTACTATTGTTAATTGCCAAGTCAGCAAGGGAAGCAAGAGCTGAGAAGGGAACCCAATTCTAGCCACACACTGAACATCACTATAAATCATTTTAAACAAATTACTTAAAGAGGTAACTTGGTAGAAGCTTCCACCTTCTGCTTACATTCCAGCAATAATTCTGCTCTCAAGAATTATTTCCATAAACCTTTTATTTCCAAGATTCTTCTATACAGGCTCCTGCAAAAGGCCAACATCATTTGTATATCAGAAAACAGTTTGAGACTCAGCTCCTGTTAAAGGAAATAATGTGACATTTTTGGTAAAAGAAAACCTTGCCCAGAGCTACATTTTAAGTTTTAATGAACAGTCAATGAAGAACAGCAAGAAATCAAAGCTGAAAATGATTTGTATAAAGTCTGAGAAAACTCAGAAAATTGTTCACCCAGCCACATTGCATCTACTTCTGGTTTATAAAAGAATTTATATTTTCTCTTGTGAGAACTCCATTTTGGCTGTAATAAAAGCCACCCACCTATCTGAGAACCCATCAAGATATCCAGATTCATACGCGCTTCCTAGAACATCCTACATTTCAGCCCATGCACCAAATGCCCTTAGGGGAGCTACGTGGGTGAAACTGCAGCAGCCATTATGCACTGGAATGAATCTGCCGGGCCAACTGATAGAGAACAGAAGCATCCCATCTCCTGCAGTCATGTGTCTCACACAGGGATCAGCCATTTCTTTCTTCTCAGTGCTGATCTGCAAGGTAGACCACAAAACACTTCAAAAAATGAGCAAGGGAAATGAAATTCATAGATTTAGCAGGTATTAAACCCCATGTTTTTTGCTTAATGGCTCATTACAATTCACTTCTAAAATAATCCCTCCATGCTTTTTAACAGGATGAACCAGGCCTCTCTTCTACAGGAGATAATCACTTAATCACCCCTCCCCCTGCTAATAGTCCTCTTCTCCACTAATTTCTCCTCTATTTATTTCACAATTATTGCCTGTTTTTTCTCTCAGATGATTTAGCTGATATTTAACCTAATGCAGAGCAGTTATTCTCAAACATGATGCCCCAAAACTTGTTGGCTTTTTCTTTTCCGTTTGTTGTGGTTTAACCCCAGCTGGCAATTAAGCACCGTGCAGGCACTTGCTCATTCCTCCCCCCTTCAGTGGAATGGAGAGGAGATTCATAATAAAAAAGTAAAACTTGTGGGTTGAGATAAGCACAGCTTAATTACTAAAATAATAATAGTAATGAAAATGAATATATCAAAAAGAGAGAGAGAAATAAAACCCAAGAAAAGAAAAGCGATGTAAAATGCAATTGCTCACCACCCACTGACCAATGCCCAGACACTCCCTGAGCAGCCGATTTCCCCCTCCTAGCCACCTCCCCCCAGTTTATATACTGAGCATGACGTCCTGTGGTATATCCCTTGGGCTAGTTCGGGTCAGCTGTCCTGGCTGTGCTCCCTCCCAGCTTCTTGGGCACCTGTTCGCTGGCAGAGCATGGGAAACTGAAAAATCCTTAACTTTGGATAAGCATTACTTAGCAACAACTAAAACATCAGTGTATTATCAACATTATTCTCACACAAATCTAAAACACAGCACTGTACCAGCTACAAGGAAGAAAATGAACTCTCTCCCAGACAAAACCAGGACACAGTTATATCAACTGATCTAATGTAAAACTCTCCCTGGTCTTTCCTCTTTTTACATAACATCCTGCCTTGCTCAGGATGAGCTACATGCCATCATAAACTATTCCCGAAAAATGATGCAAGGCTGGAAGCGTGATGTGAGAAATGCAACTGGACATAGAACAACTCCATTTGCTAATCCTCCAGGGGAAAGGATCACCGCTGGCATCAGCAGTACCCCGTTTCCTAACTTTTAACAAGCTGTTTCTTAAAAAACTTCCACTTTAGCTAGCCATTGCTAAGGAGGACAGTGGGTGGTGAGGAATGAGAGGAAAGACAGCATGAAGGAAACAACTTCCAGAACCTTCACAGCTTGCCAAATGCGCTATTAACCAACAGTAATTACAGTGACCTGCTGCTCTGGGAGCCAGGAGGCCTGAAGCTAACCACCCTGGCTCAGTTAGCCCCACCTGCCATACCGGTACCAGCTGGATTTAAGGGAGAGAAAGCCCAACAATTAAGGGTTAGCAGAGAAACAGCCTGTTTCCACAGGGAACAGGAGGTTTGGCAGGGAAGTGCTTGTAGGTGGTATCTTGCTAAAGGCTGTCGGCCCGGCTGTTGGTTTCATGTGTTCTGGGTAGCTGGGTTACTGCCTGTCAGCTGGGAGAGAGAGGTGGTAAGCAAAGCTGTTGGGGCTGGATTTGCCTTGCAGGAGAAGGGGGTTGCAGTGTAGCTTCTGTTGACTTTGTGTTTTGAATTAAGGGTTGGAAGTAGATTATAAAATATAGAGACAGTGTTACCCAGTTTCTGCAGGTCCTCAGGATGCGGGGTGCTGTGGGGCTCCTGCTGTCCCTGGGTTTCTCTCTCATTGCTGTAGCGTGTGCCAATGTCTTTTTGCTAAGTGCTGACCACTGCTGCTCTCAGTTGTAAAGCAAAAATTAATTTATATATTCTTGATAGTTTTTAGTAACTTAAGTGTTTGATAAATCAGATGGAGGGGGAAAAAAATAAATGTGTGGTTAGAAACTTTTCCTTCCCCCTGTTTGCATAAGCACTAACACAATGGTAAGTCGATTCAAGTGTAGCAAATAAACCCCCTAATCCTCCACAGTTTCATAGTTATTGTTTGAGAAAAATGGAGTGGAAGTTAGACGTATTTCTTTGCCAGAGAGAACAGTGTACTTCAGGTTAGGAGAGCAGGTAAGGTTCTTAAGTAACAATCAAATACGCTACATGCGATTAAGTGGTTTCTGCTTTGAGATCTATGCTTTTGCTTCTTTCTTTCTTCTTCTATGATGTTGTGGTGTGATTGTCCAAATCTAGTCCTGACAAAATGATCCAGGTTAGAAGAACCCCTATGGTTAAAGGTCTTATAGTTCACTGGGATCACTTTGCCAAGAGAGAGAGTAAGGCTTGCCTCAGTGCTGGCAAACCCAGGCATAATAGTTTGTGGCAGGGTAGGGAGCTGCAACCTCACAAGCTGCTGTAGGTGAAGCTGGAATAGATCTTCTCAATGTGGCTTAGGGTTTTCTGTGCTAGTCTCACAGACTCTATTTGGCTTCCATATGCAGTTTTGTTGCCAGGGATCATATTTTTATGTTGGAGCCTAGAAAAATAAAAGAGAGACTGCTAAAGATCAGCACCGTTGATACCTTGGCTGTTATACAGTTTGTGCAGGAAGAAACTGTTTCATATTCAGTTTTTATGCCAATATATCTTCTTCAGATACAACGATGTATGTTTTCTGTTTGTTTTTTTCCCACCCCAGGAGGGAAAAAAAAAAAAAAGTTAGACCAAAACCATTCCTAGCTGCTTGCAATTATATAAGCAAAAAAACCTGCCTTATACTGCACCCATAACAAGGTATGATATTGCCAGTATAGGTATCCTCATCAGAGTGTACGTGAACCTTGTTTAATGGGTGTAGTTAAAGAATAAAGATGGCTGATACCGGCTAGCAAGGACAATTGGGCTAATCATGGTGAATTTGAAGCATAGTGACTATGTGTGCTGTTATAACAGCTTATCTGAACTGTGGTTAGGGGACTGCTCAGATACAGGGGAGTGAAAGGTATGAACCGCGTTCTTCTGTGCATGATTAATGGCCGGTATTTGGTACTTCAGAGCCAAAAGAACTGAAAAATACAGCTTATTTTCACCATTACAGAGCAAGGCATACTTTACCCTTACTATAGCTCAGATAATTAAGCTCTATGCTAAAATAGATCTGATGATTCTGCTTTCTAACTACAGAAGGAGCAACTGACCATAATATTACCACTGCTAGGAAAACATAATCTAGCTATAATGTATGGCTGATCTGAAGTTTTACTGAACTTAATATGCTAGTCACATTACCTGAGGAAGTATTTTTTGTACAAGGAGCCTGTTCAGCAGTTCTCATCCTGGACTTTATAACCTGAATAACTGAGTCAAGTTTTTTCTAACACCATCTTACCAAATTAAGCATTACAGTCTGTCTTATTGTTCAGCAGTCTTAATCACCTCTATTAATTTAGGCCTTTAAAATGACACCCCACTTTATTGAACTAGTGAACACTAGTGAACATATATGCTGGAGGGTATAATACTGTTTAATGAAGTTACTAAAGTGATTACAATGTATTTATAGGTTCTGGAAGTATAGTGCTATTGTCCATCTCTTTCAGTGCTGGTGAATTCTGATCAATCTCCTGAGGCAATATTGTCTTGAGGACTCTCTAGCATGTAACTAGATTAGCAACAAAGGTGAGTCTCAGGAGAGGGCTCTACTCCGTCCTGCAACAGTTGACATGATTTGTTGGTGGTGTTTCTCATCTAAAAAAAATCTGTTCGCTTCTGTCAATGGTAATTATGAATGCCTCTTGATCATGAATATGAGCTTCAGACAAAGCTTCTGGGAGAGGACTTGCTAGCCTGAGCTTTTCTACCCACCACTATTTCATTTCTTTCAACGTATTGGATCTTCACTCAAGTGATGTAGTTAAAATAGAGGAAAGAAACATCCGTCATGCCATTGGGAGACATGTCCATGTGGACAGGTCTGGTACAAATAAATGCAAGTAGAAAATATAGGGGTGTGGGCCCTTTAAGGGCAAGAACGTTACTAAAGGCGTCTTAAATATCTTTGAGTATGCTAATCCCTGAACTACTGTACAAAAGCTTCAGTAAAAATAGTGAACTCTATTCAGTTTCTGATGAAATGGTTGTAGATGCCTGGTCCCAAGGGACAATTCCTGAGTGCATCTCAGCTGTGAAGCTTCCTGCAGCTTATGTGTAGCACCTGAGTTTCTGAAGGGGATTCCCGACTGACCTTAATGGCTCGTTGCTCAGGGCACAGGTTGCTCAGGTGTCCTCTAATGAGACTCCTAAATCTTCCTATTCACAGTACAGGAAGTGTAGGTATCCAGTACAGGATTCCCTGCGGGCCACAGGCTGGGACACTGAGTGTTACAGCCCATCAGTCTCTCACTGGACTTGGCCCAGAAGTTGCTAATGCAACATCAACAGTGGTTTGTTTTGTTTTGTTTTGTTTTCCTGTTTTTGCTTTAAATAGTAATGATGAATCTGATTATTTGTAGGACAGCAGATGCTATGGTAATACAAGATTCAAATAACAGATGTGAGAACAGACTCTGGCCTTGGTTTAAATGACACATGTTATTTATTATTATTTAACTTCTTGTGCAATGGAAGCCAGGTTTTCTGCTCTTTGAGAAACTCTTTACTGAATAATACATATAAAATCAGGACATTATTTTATGCACATATATATATATATATCTGAGAAAATGAAATTGCTGTATCTAATAGAGCAGTACATCTTTTGAAATATGATACTGATCACAGAAGGATTAAGTGATATGCTAATAGAACTGATCTGTTTCTGTCATCTCACCTAGGTAAAATAACTCAACATGATACTTACAGTTAAAGGTCAATAAAGGAAGTGTGTAAAGCTCTGTTACTTTTGGTTATGTATATGGCATACAAATACAGAGTACAGTTAACTGCACTGAAAACCACAGTATTTTAACAATTTTATTCTGACAAAAGCCATAAATGGCTTGTACTTACTGATAGCTATTAAAAATTAGTTGAGTTTCAGTAAATACAAATCTGTAAATTTAATGAGATATCCGAATTATATATAAATAGAAAACTGCAGTATTAAATAAAAATAAATAACCCAAGGCCAGCTTGTTTATGTCCAAGTTATTACTGGCTCATTGGAATCTTAGCAGTATGGAACTATGTTTGATAACGGCATGAATGAGAAATCAAAGTTGACAGGTTTGCAAATCTAGTGAATGGAAAAGCCACTGATGTTGCCTGAGCTATGGCAGAATGCCCTCAGACTGGAGACCTGCCTTGGCTTTCTCCTGTGAACTAACTTGTCTTGGTAGGAATGCGTGGGGATTCCCTGTGAGCACGCCAGCGTGCCCCATGACTCAGAAGGATGGTGGTCCGCGCTTATAATGGGATGCCTCTGTGAGGAGACTTAGACCACATGCCAGGTCAAGATGACTGCAGGTGGAGTCTTCTTGCTTTGGCAGACAGGGCTGGTAACTGCTCTGGGAAGAGCAGTCTGAGTAGCTACAAGCCTATGGAGAGGCAAATTCCATTCTCCTAGAACCAGAAGCCTTTACTGAGGGCAGGCCACAAACCTGGGCTGGTTCCTTCCTTGCCACCCTGATACTGTTTTGCGGAGCGGCTTCGGAGACCATCCTCTTCAGATTGACAGCCTCAAATTCAGGATTTAGCCATGAAACAGCATACAAGCAATCTTCTTTAGTGTAGGAATGCGACTCCAGTGTCGATGGAGCATTTGCCTTCTAATGTCAGTAACTTCTTCCAACCAATAGAAAAATCTCTGAGACGGGCTTGGCTGCCAAACATTACAGGCTTTGAAGTCTGCTGGCAGGTAAAAGTTGTATGTCGGTGACCTACAAAAACATCAAAAGGTATGTCAGGGAATGCTGTTGCAAGGGCTGGAAGCTGAAAATCTAAAAGAAAATCCTCAAAGATAACACTAACGGACTTCAAAGGTAGGAGATATGGAGAAAATCAAACAGATATGTCAAAATCAGACAGAGAAACAGAAATTTTTTCTGCCTTGAGTAGAAGTTGGAAAGGAAATAAAATGGGGAAATATGTACTGCTTTTTATGGTCACGTGTACATATAATGTGTAAACAACTGCTATCTTGTCTTCAAAGTGTACATATCAGTATGCTCAGAATATAAATATATACAGTTAATGCCTCAAAAAGAGACTAATAATTGATATCCATATTTTTCTTTTTACTCACATATCTAAAGGTGCTGTGTAATCCTTTTTTTTTTTTTTTTTAATAACATAGTTGTCACAGTGTAGTGGATATGTAATAGTGAAAGATACCATCATTAAAGATCAGGTCCTTCACATAACCTGCCAGAATCCAAATGTGGGACCTAAAAGACTCAAAGTGAAGGCATTAATGTAGGAAACTTACCCAGCTATGGATTAATCTCAATAGTATTAGACTTTTTATAATCTCTGGTACTTCATCTCTTAAGGAAGGATTTTTTTATCAGTAAAAACATAACATGAAAATATAGAATTTATGTATAAAGAGCTTTGGAACAGGAAATAGGTAATGCTTCAAAGTAAGAATGACCAGGCTGGGTAAAACCAAGAATCCAGTAAGAGCAGTATCCTGCTTCTTATAATAGTCATGAACGGATGCTTAAGAAAGATATGAAAAACTGGACAGGAATACATAAAACTTTCCTCAAGATTCCAGCCACTTGCAGCTGGGCCAAGCATGATTTCTCTATATCTAGTCATTCTCAGTGAATTCCTCTCCCATGAACTTGTGTAGTCCTCTCCTGAAACTAAACTTTTAGCAAATGCAGCATCCTGTAGCAGGGAGTTCCCAGCTTTACAAACAGACATTGTAAAGAATTATTTTCTTTTTTTTTTTTTTTTTTTTTTTTAATTTTGACATCTGAGAGTCATAGCTAGTGTACTGAGATTCAGACTGGGTTTCTGAATCTGGTTCCTGACACTGTTCTGTGGAGACAGGCTCTATCAGAACAAGCTGCAGGAACGGGTCCTCCATCAAGGCCATTGTGCAATGAGTGAAACAAATCAGAAAGGAGAAGGAAATAGCAGCATCTGATCCTGAACATCAAAATGACCATGTGAAGAGATTTTCAAAATGGATTATAGCACATTTGTGCGTGCTCTCTGTGGTTTACCGTGGTGCCAGAGTGCATAGGGCTATAGTGAAAATTCCATTGATAATTTTTTTTTCCTTTTTGTGAAGTTCTGTTTTCAATTTTCAGTGTGTAGCAGTGTTACCAAATATGGGAGAATCTGCTACCACCCTGGACTTGTATTGGTGCCTATGCACTGGGAATGCATAACAGCAATGGATTCCTTTTTTTAATATATATATATGGTAAGCACTGATTCCCTGTAGCCTACAGTGCAGACAGAGTAGTTTACAGGCAGATGGTTGGGTAGATCAGATTTTTCCTGAAAAAAAGAAACTGTGAAAAGGAATGCTGTTGAAAATATCAAATACAGTAAGAAGGGTTAAGCTGTTCAAATCACCTGCTTCAGATGCAACGTAAAATCTTTTTTTTTTATTTTTTTTTTCCTCCCCTCCAGGAGGAAAATAAACAGTTCCCTTGTCCCTAGGGTGGTAGCAAGCCCTAACAAGGAAAAGCAGGACACATTCCTTCCTTCCTTCCTTTATAACTAGTCACTGAATTGCTCCCAACACATTCCAGATCTGGTAGGATAGCTTAATTATCTTCACCTGGAGGCCATTGCCTGAATTCCTGTCAGTTAATATAACACCTATGGAGTGAGGCACCACGATTTCTTCCTGATGAAAGTGGGTTATGCACCCAGCCCCATGGTCATGAGCAGTTTCATAGGTTCATTTGCATATGAGGATTTATGAGTTTCCTGGGTGTAACTGCCTATAAAATGTTGAGTCTGTAAGTGTCATCAAACATAATTCTTCCCTAAAGACTTAAAGCAGATATATGAAAGATGAAGAACTGTTTATTGTAATAAGTTGTAGTTATGAGTGAAATTTTTTAATTGCTTCCTTTACAATGAAAGGTCAGTATAGAAAAGGGAATGCTGCTGGTTTGCTTTCACTGGTGGTGAAATAGGGAAATTTCTGTAACAATTCATGATCAGGTGTGCAGTGCTATTCTGTAAGGCAGCTGAAATTTTGCAAAGCTCATCAGACAATAATTCTTATCACATAATGTTATCAACCAGTACTCTGTCTGGGTCATAATTCCCCATTTCTGTAGTTACAGATATCATTCGCGAAGAATGTCAAGAGGAGTCCCAAGATTCAAATCCTAAATCAGTAGTAAACCAGCAAGTTTATATGTTTTTTCCAAACAAGTAGCTAGACAATTAGACTAGAAAAATAAAAATATTTAAGCATATGGACTCAAAGGAATTTGTCATGTACTTGTTCTATCCCTACCATCAGATATGAAGTATTTTGTAATAAGCTTTGAAACCTCACTTGTGTTGCCTGATTCTGTTCCAAGTGAAGCCAAATGTTAATGTTGTTACAGATAAAGCTTCTGGAGTAGCACTGAAAACAGTTGCTTCCTAGAAAACATTTTGACAGTTTGGTGAGGCATCAGGGAGTTCTACTACACAAAATCTTATCACAATATTGCATAGATAGCCAGAGTAAGTTTCAACACAGACCAGTGATGGCTCTTTGTTCATGTCCAATGTAGAAATGAAAATACAGTAAGTAAAACCAGGAGGCCTCTAAGGCTTGAAAATCATGGTAAACATGACTCTAAAAGAAGTAAAAATGTTCAAGACCGCAACCAGGATGATAAGCAACAGAGTGAGAATATTAACAAATGTATTTTTATCCAAGTTTACTGATTTATAAATTTTATTGAGTGGAATAATGATTTAGTGTTAAGAATTCTGACAACAAAATGAGAGAGTTACGTCAATGGGAGACAAGTACAGAGGGGAATGACAAAAAAGTTTCTGAATAATGAAAGGCATCTGTTCTATCAGTGCTATCCTGACATACCCCTAAATTAATCTAAGCTAAACTAGACTGAAAGCTTATGTAAAACAGCGCTTTGGATTCCCACGGATAAAGAAACAACTATTGCTTTTTGAAATCTGCACATAGTTATCATATGTTACATATTCTTGTATATATCCTGTATCAACAAGTTTGTATTTTGGGTTGTATTCAGAGATACTAAATTATAGCTTTCAGTCCTGTAGCTGCTTGTGATCAATTTCAAAATAAACTTGAGAGACAGGGTGTCTTAAACAGGCACAGGGCTGCTACTAGAGTGAAATTAATGGTGTAATTTTCTTCTTAAACTCAAAAGGTTAAGTTCTGTGGCAAACAACCAAAAGCATCAGACAATGTTAGTCACTTTTATTCTACAGATCACTCTCTGGATACTCACATCAACTATCTCAGTTATACAGGCATTCTTAGGAACTTTTTTCTTCTTTATGTAAAGACCTTTAACATATCACAGGAAAGGAATGGGATACCTGTTTCTCACGTCTTGTACAGATATGCTGCTTCTCTTCTCCCACAACTACCAAAACATTAGCCAAAGCAGACCAACTTAGACTGGTTTAATTACTACGACAGCAGAAGGAATATGTTCATTAAATACAGCTTTGGTAAATTAAACAAAAAATTAAGAGATGTGTATATTATTAGCTCTGCAGTTGCACTACTAATATTATTTCTGAACAATCTGTTTTACAGATATTCCATAAAATCAAAGTTATGAACCTAAAGAGGGCTATGCTGTTTCAGCAGCGGTAAGCCCCTGCTGTACAGATATTCTGTAGTTAGTCCACAGTCACCTCTTATACATACATGAGATTTGGGAATGAAGATGAGATGAATACAGATCAAGAAAATAACAAACCTAACTGAATGACTTAAATTATTTGTCAAGATTACAGCAAATACAGATATTGCCTGCCATTAAGCGTATAATACTTGCGTGAATCATTTCCTTTAGAATTTGCTTTTTTATAACGTTAATGTAAGTGGCAGCCGAGTGATTTACATACCCAACCTTCTGGCACCATCCTGTGGCACACTGGGTAACTGCGTGGCTCTCAACTGCTCCTCAGTTGCTCTCAACTGGCTGTGACGCTTCCACGGTGAGTGGCCACACTCTAACGGTGGTGGAGCAGAGGATAGTTTAGAGCTTTAGTTTTCTGTCCCCTTCTGTGGCTAAGTATTAGTTTTCTGTCCCCTTCTGTGGCTAAGTATCACACTGGCTACCCTAGCAAAGTTTTACAGTATCCATGGGAAAGTGGTTTGAAGGGATGATAGTTTTCCCTACTATCCTAAAATGGATTCAAGTAAGACTCCTCAACCCATGGCTAGTATGGTTAATACAGATAAAATATAGAATTGGGAGTTATGTGTTTGAAGAAGAAAAACTCAGATTGCATGGACTGAAAATCATCATCCCAAAATCTTGAAACAAACTAGAGTAAGAAAACTGTGGGATAAATATATAAAATCAGTGTGGTAATATGATTAGAGAACAGGAAATACAGTATCTGACTGTATAAAGGAGGGAGACGACAAGTGATTCATGTCTGAAAGGTCCCTGAATTTGACTTGAGTTGTCTGCAATAATTTAAAGCAAATGGTGAAGCAGTGAATAATCAGATGTAAAACCAGACAAGATGGTATTGAACTTAGCTGTTTTGGTTTTGTGGTTTTTTTTTTTGTTTTTTTGTTTTTTAAAAAACAAACACCTAGATTTTATAGGCAATGTGACACACTTTATCCAAGTGAATATTAATAAAACACATAATATGGTGCCACTCAAATTTATTAATGAAGCTGGCAAAATTAATACTTTTTAAAAGGATGATAATACAGGCAAGGAAATAGCTA